ATGTTAAGAAAGCAAAGCACCATCCCTCCTATAAGCACGCCATCTGGGAAAAAATTTTCCCCCCATAGACAAAGCCGAAGCATTAGCTGAGTTCTTTGAAAGTACTTTTACGTCTCAATAACACTCCAGCCACACAGAACTATACAAATTGCAAACTCGGTCTCCGCTCGAACAATAATGTTCCACAAAAAACAAAATATTATATCACCAAATGAAATTAGGAATTTAATAAAAAGTCTCCCTCAAAAAAAAGCCCCTGGACATTGATAATATTAACAATAAAATTATAAAAAACCTACCAACTCCAACAATAGCTTCATAAATAATATTATAACTCAATATTGAGAATTGTTACTATCCAATACTTTGGAAAAACTCAAAAATTATTCCTATCCCAAAGCCAAATAAAAATCACAGTAATCCAGAAAGTTTACAGCGCAATCAGTTGCTGCCAACTCTGAAAAATTCTTGAAAAACTAATTCTGAAAGATTAAACAATTATTTAAACAAAACCAGAAAACATACCCCAACATCAGTTTGGCTTTATTAATCAAGTTTCCACATCACACCAACTTCTAGACTAACTGAACACATCCATTCAGCATATCAATATAAAAAACACACAATAGCAACCTTCCTGGACATATCACAAGCCTTTGACAGAGTTTGGCACAAGGTCTTATATTTAAACTGCAAGCAATTGGAACACCAATCTCCTGGTCAACATTATAAAACATTTTTTAACAGATAGAACATCACAGTGACAGTAGAAAAACACAATTCAAAACCCGCGTAAAATACAAGCAGCCTTCCACAAGGCTCCCCACTTTCCTCAACTCTATTTAATATCTACTCATCAATATCCCGACCACAAACCAGACCACATGGCACAATTTGCAGCGATACAGTAATTTACAAATCCAGCATTCATTAAAATCATTTAGTGAAAAATACAAAACATCTAGACAAAATAGATAACTGCGTCAACAATATGGAAATTAAACTAACCCAACAAAACCACTGCCAAAATATTCTCGCTTAAGCACTTCTACACTCCCTCCCCTTTCTATCAACAACAACACAATTACATGGACTCCTCACTCTCAAACAGTAAAATACCTTGGACTAAACCCTAGATACAAACTGCACTGGCAACTCCCACAATTACAAATCAAAACTCAACAAGCAAAATGCAAAATAGCCAATTACAACCTCTAATAAATCCAAAAGCTGCCGTATCAATAGACTATGCTACAACATATAATAAATCTATAATCAAAGACCATTAATGTTATACGCATGCCCCGTATGGACAAACTCATCAGCCACAACAATAAATAAACTGCAAAATAATACAAAATATATTTCTCCGTTTAGCAACTGTCCGCACCATGGTTTATATCCAACAGACAACTACAAAAAGAATTGAATATAAACCCATCATCAAACACATAGCCCATCTATCCAATAACTTTTATTCAAATATCAATTCATACCACACATCAGCCAATACAACCTCGCCTCAACAGACTATACTCGAACACGAATAAAAAAACCGTTACCCTTTAAATGCCTTCCTAAACATATTTTCCAACAATTGTGAAGAGTAGGTGCAGATTGAAGCTTCCTACCCCCTCCTGTAGCTAGAGTTAGTTTTTAGATAGATAATAAGAATATTTGTAAGTCATACCAATACATATGATAAAGTGATGTAACTGAACTATGTACTTCCGAATGGAAATAAATAAAATTGAAAAATTGAAAAAAAAAAGGTTGGCGGAAAAGGCTGAACGGAGAAAGGGCGAAACTACGATCGAAGAAGCAGTCGCCCGCAATGGCGTATGCACGGCTTATAGACAATTGTGTTTAAATGGACAGAAGCAATACGCCATTCGGCAAGCTTGAACTAGTGGTCATTCAGAATGGCACAAACTTCCTCATACCATTAATTTACTAATGTCTTTAGTCTAGAGAAGCTTTTCGGTTTTGACCGGGTGAGATGGCTCAAGGTATCAACTAATGTCACTGCAGACCCTTTGACCGGGAGGTATAAGGTTCGAGTCCCGACAGCGTCAAGATTTTCGACCTTTCTACCTTGTCAGCTACGTCAAATTCAGTCGCTGGAGGCTGGTTGATCTGATCGGAAGTTTTTCGTGTTTTTTCCGATGAATACCAGGCGAATGCCGGGGCAGTATCCTAATAAACCGGCCACGGACAACGTGCGATCTCACCTTCCTCTTCCGCGTCCTATCCTCACTCTTTACACACACACTTACACTAACATGCATCACAGTACCTCACAGCCGCGAGACCGGTCGGGAGCTTAGAGTTTGTTCCGGCTGTGAGAGATCCCTCGTTCAGGGAAACTCCGTCAGCCAACGGAGGAGATCATCGCATCCTCAAGTAGAACGCATGCACTACACGTACGGGACTAATGGCATCGATCGTTTATGCGCCCGGAATCATTAATAACCAACCAACCAACCAACCTTTTCGGTTTTGCCATATCCTCTTGCCATTTGCGTCTATGACACACTTACACTAACATGCACTACACTACCACACATGTCGGGACACAAATTGTCATTAGTTTACAATGAGTAGTATTGCGAGGTTTTAGAACCTTTTTCTTTCTACATTTTTTATTTATACAAAATACTGAGTTTATTACTGTCTTCTAAGAACACACGTAATTAAAATTACACTTTTATTATGCCATAAAAAACAATGATGTGCTCTTCGTTTACTCCCGGGTCTCATTATTGTTTGTTCGTGAAAATTAATAGCTACATTAAAAGAAGAATTACTGTTTCAAATTACACATTCTTGATTTGTCTTCTCTGTAATTATTATTGTCCTCATGAGACGAATTTCATTAAATTTATCCTCTTTCAGGAGGCGCTTTTAAAATGTACTCTAATGAGAGCTCGAATAATTAAATACTTTATTTTTTTATTTTATTGCAATGTGTACAAATAGAGATTATTTTTAATAGTTTGAAAGCTAAGAAAACTGACGAAACCCTCTGATCCACGCCGCTACGTTCTTACCGCGCTATACTTCACGACACTCAGCAACGTTTTACTCTAATTATTCCAGTCAAATGGTGCTCACAAACGACAAATAGCGGAAGGTTTTAAAGTAGTTTTAATATTTGGTTTCTGTATGGTTTAGGGGCTGCTGAACACGGATATCAGATTTGTCAACAAAACTATTAGCCGGTTTTTGAACAAAAATGTGTAACAATAAGGACTTTCTTCTTTTTTTAAAAATACCCACGACGTGAGCGGCTGAGCAACGTTGAATTCGTTACAGTTTTAGTAGATAGAGTCGAAATATAATTTGTAGTAATGATCCTTTATTACCCTGTATATCGTGATCTAATACACTATATTGGAGGGTAATTTATGCTAAATTGAGTAAATATGATATTCATCCAATAGTGTGAGAGATCAATTTAGTTTTTGGATATTTGGGATTCATCTTGGTGACATTCCGCGCAGGAATCAAATCTTACTGCAGTATAGGAGATAGTTTTTAGCTCTGAGGGACAGAAATTTGAAACGCCATATTTGACGAAAGATAATTTTACATCCTCGCTACGGAATAGAGAAAAAATTATATAATACTGTTCGAAAAAACAGCGAATTTTCGGCAAAAAAATATTTCCAGGTCCTGGTAACGACAAATTGGATAAATTCAGTACCTAAAAGTAGAAGAAAATCCTCAAGGTCATTCTCACTCCTCATCCACGAAAAGAAGCCCAACAGTTCCAGTTCCGTCAGCGTGTGAGCGGCTCTAACACTTCTCTCGCCACGTTCAATGAATAGAGACCGGAAAAATGTTTAGTATGAAACGTCAAAATATGTACATAAATGTGTAAAGAAAACAGTAAGAATATGTAATGAATGTGTAAAATCGGATATCGCTGACGCACACTTCCGCCACTGAGGTAACTGAAACAAGCGCTGGGCTGTAGATTATCACGCGTCTTCATGCAGAGCCCCTGGAGAATGCAGCACGCAGTAATACTACAGGGAAAACGCTATTTTTGGGAATACTTCTTTTCATAAAAATATGTAATAAAAGTGAAGAAAATTGAGATATGTATCTCCATTATGCATGCGTACTTTTTGACTACCAGGCATGAAGCGAACATGGAAGTATATTACGACACGATTTCACGAAGAATGGTTAAAGGTCCATCCGAACATACCAAAATCAAGGCAGAGAGTGTGCGACCATCATTCTAAGGAACTTTCTCTCAGCAGCAGAGAAACACCATTATGGCGAATGTAAGAGCATTCTTGAGTTTTGAGAATAGGAATGAGACTGATGAAGGAAGAAATAATAAAGACCCACAAGCTAATCAGGAATAGTCTGGGAAGACGAATTCTGATGAATATACTATCATGGTATTCCATTACCATCCAGACCATGGATCCCACGAGTAGGATATGGCCTACATACAATCGCGGCAATGGAAGCTGTCAATAACTCGCTGAAGGAGGATGCAGAACAATCGACATCGCTTGAGGAAGTGGTAAGATGTGGATCTTGCGCAGACCTCGAAAAACACAGTACAGCCTGCTACGTTTACTTAAGCCCCATGGGTCAGGCGATTTGAATGCAAGATTGAAAACTTCCGGCGGGGCGTGGACTTTCTTTCTTAAAACATCGGTTCTGATTACACAACGTGTTCGAGGAAGTAATTTACTGTATACGAAAAATATATATCCACTAGTAAGAGATTTTCTGTCGAAAATTAGCAGTTTTCCGACACACAATTACAATACTTTCTCTTCTTACGTTGTAAAGGGCAAAAACGTCAAAAGAAAACTGATTAATTAACAATAAAAACACAAATTTATAATAAATAACATTAGATCAATAATTGAAAATGTTTGGCTTCCCTTCATTTGTGGTGTGTGATGAATGTTCATAATTTCGGAAAGTTCATAATGACACTGACTGAACATTTGATATTTTATTTCTGACAGGCAACTGGACTTTGTTGAAGTTTGAAACAAACCTTTCTGTTTACTCAGCCCATGTGGGCAGTAGTCGACAAAATATCACGTCGCAACTTAACACGGAAGGTGCAGGAAGGAACGTGTGCGGGGAGCTTCAGGAGCCTCGTTTATTTGGCGAGGCAGAAGGCGTTGGCGTCCTTTCGAAAAGAAACTAAAAGAACATTCAACAGCGTGAAATACCTTGGAGAGCACTCAGCCCCCACTTTATCACAACTCCTTCATCCAATGCGATTGTCGTGAGTCGGCTCGTGAAAATGTTGAGGATTGAATGAGTTGTTGAGGATAATTCTGTAATTTTACTCCACATTTCATTTTCTTATCCATTATTTAAAAAATATAGATCTTTTACTTAAGAAGTTGGGTTATGTGAATAAAAGCCAAATTACGTCTATTTAAATGGAAGATTTTTAGGTACGAATGGGGAATATTCTAATTATATTTATATGTATGTTAGCCTGCAAAACTGTTTTGCACACGTATTTGCATTTTGTTTACCGTTTAGTGCATAGGTATAAAAATACATTTCATTAGAAGTTTGAGTATAGAAGTGGTAATTCTAGTAATATCAGAAAACAAATATTTTAATATAAATATTTAGTGTCATGGTAATAGTGAATAAAAAGTACAATATTTTATAACAAACATGAGTTCGTAAATTCAATTGTATATTTAGTCACTTCTGTTAATCCAAATAACAAGACAGCCATGACAGTCGTCCTACGAACCTACTTCTCCGACAAGAGCTCAGTTCATTTTAACAAATTCACATCCAACTATGTCTTTTATGTATTATTTACACTCGCACTTATTACTAAGCAACTCTGAATATGTACTTCAATTTCTCGCCTTATATTTCGCTTGACTGCACAGGAACACAACTGTATACAGAACTCTATATTTAATAAGATCATAACACTTGTATGATTGTATGGCCTCACTGTAGTACTTATCAGACCAATATTTTATTTGACAGTAGATCAGACACTCCTCATATACGAATTTTATCTACAGTAGGACCTGAAAGAGTGAATATTTTTCTCTTACCTTGCAGCTGTTTAAATTACGTGAATCGTTAGTATATTTCAAATTTCTATTTTATGGCCATAATTATATCTAATGTCCAGGATATTAAGTTATTATAAATTCATACGCTCAAGCTGGTGATAACAAATTAAATATGTTTATGACGTATGCAACAAAACATTTTACTTATTCTCTTTAGTGTGAATAAAGATACTCCAAACCCAAATCAATTTTTTGCTCTTCGTAATAACGTTTTATAGTTAATTTTATGTACTTGAATACCAAAATAAATTAGTACATTGTTAAGTATATCACATAACACACGCCAATATGAATGGATAACTGCTCATCTTTGTTGAAAAAAATCAGCAGATATCAATTCAAGTCAAAATATAGGTAGCCAACACTATATTTTCAATTTAATTAATTATATTAAATTATTTTAATTGAGCACTTGTTGAGAAATCAATATAACAAAATTAAGTGAGAGACACGATTGTGAGTGCTTTAATTGATTTTGTGATGCAGGGTTTCATCCAGGACATTGTATTTACCGTTGGCTGGTGGTCAATGTCCGAAAGCACCTGCGCGTTTCCGCGGGGCCATAGCAACGACATCAGCATTCACGCACTCCCCGCGCGGGCTCAGAGCGCGCGCTGCTGGCGCAATCACTCGCGCCGGAGAGTTAGCTGTTAGCGCCTCGCGGGGAAAATCAACACGCAATGTGCCCACGCGCAGCGCCGCTGGCGCAACGGGTGGGCGAGCGAGACAGAGACAGAGACAGAGACAGAGAGAGAGAGAGAGAGAGAGAGAGAGAGAGAGAGGGAGAGGGAGGGAGAGGGAGATGTAATTAGACGTGGGAGGAAGATATTCAGGGGCGAGAGAAAAACCGGTAGCGTGAAATAGAACAGCGTGGAAGCCAGATGGCAGAGCAGAAATTCAAAGAGTGAGTGGGCGGTTCAAACAGGTTCACAGGCAATTTGTGTTGGCGATAGGTAGGAGGATACTGGATCAGCTGAGATTTCCTTTGCTGAGGTAGGCATTTAGATATTCATTAGATGAGAGGCATACATGAAGGAGTTTTAAAGAAGTACGCATTAATAAATACGGTTACATTTAGGCTTAGAAATATTTCCAAATGAGAATCAATTACGATTAGGTCTTGTATTAGGACCATCAATCTTGAAAATTCGGATCTTCTTTTATTCTTGAAAAGATGATATATGTGATATAATCCCTGGTGGGTTAGAGACCTATAAGTAGTACAAGAGGCGCTGTATTATTAGGTAGAGGTTTTAGACGTGTGAGAAAAAAAGTACGGTGTCAGTCTTTTCACATTTTATTAATTTGAACACTTTTAGCCCTCGCGGTTTAGCTCATTTTCAGCGTGCTTGCTTTCCATGACGCGGTCCCGGTTTCGATTGCCGACCGGACATGATTATAGTGCGCGTTTTCCTTGCAAAGTCCCAGTCTATGTTGCTGTGGGACGCTGAGAAGATCGGCATATGGTGTAGGGATGACTTGTGCTGACCACACGTACCCCTTAAAGCCATGGCTCGTTTGCAGACTGTCGCGCTAAGTAAGAAATAATAAAATATTGAAATAAAAAAATGTGTGCTCGAACATATATTACTCAAATTGAATGAGAAAAACCGGAATGAAAAAAATGTGTTCCCTTGCCTTGGACTCCCTCGTCTTGTATTTATTTTATGTACTTACGTCTTCTATGAGTACCAATCGATTATGGAAATTAATTTGCAAGGAACAAAAGCACTGTTGGTGATTCTGATCGGCGCTATTTGAATACTAATAGGAGGCCTAAAAACATTCTGAATATTCAACTTTTGTTGCAATATTCCTTTTGTAACACATTATTCTGTGCAATATCTACTTAGGGTGAAGCTCATAATTTAACAAAATAAATATTTATGGCAGGGGTGCAAAAAGTGACATTTTATTTGGGAGTAGGAAATGTTGTGACAGGGGGCCGGTAGACCGAGTGTCGCATTCCTAAGAACAAAATAAAATCATTTTTACCACGTGTGGCATATTCTATTTTTTACACAGCCTTACTGACTCATTTTATTTTAATTCAAGTATGCAAATCAGTTAATAATACAATATGATCGGTAGTATCTGATGCGGTCAGACGAAGGTGTTTTCTTTTCTTTGTTGCATTGATAGATTTATCGGAACCCTTGAGCTTCGCCTCACTTTTAGCACTAGTTCTAAAAATGGAACTTTCCCTACTCTCCCCCACACGCACTCACACTCGCACTATGCCCTACAGTACCACACATGTTGGGATAGAAGCGTAGAGTAGCGTTTGCCAAGTGGAGAGGAAATGACGCTTCGTGGGCAGGCGCGCGGGGAAGCGGTGCGACCGAAGGGGAGGGGGAGGCGCAGGCGGCGGTCGCCGGCGACGAAAGCCTTGGCAGAGGGCCTTGGCCGCTTTTTCAGGTAACGTGAGTGGAAGACCATCTACGCTCGTTACTTTTCTTTCGCTTGCTTTAAGTTATGTGACAATGTATGTTTGATTATTTAATTTTTCATATTGTTATTGAATTATAAACATTATAAATATTAATTACCATTAAAATGGTTAATTATCGATTTTCCAAGACGTCACAGAGCACTGAGCTGGAAAGCACTGGCTTCGAGAATCTTCTGGCGGTGCCCTGCTTGGGAAACACCTAGAAAAGGATTTCCCCTGCAAGCCAACGCCAGATCTCACCATCATTCGGGGAAGAGCACCGCGACTTCGTCATAAAAGCGCTCACTACCCTCACGTGACTAATGACCATAGCAATTGGTGAACTCGCATTCACCAATTAATTAATCAATCCGCACAGGCCAAGAGAATTTTCTCCATGATATTTAATGAGATGTGTCATGCAACACTGAGTAAAGAAATACCAACAAAAACAAACAAACAGAGGAGAACAAAAAGAACTGCGCTGAGGAAAGTAAAGAACAATTATGAACATGAGAGAGTAAGAAATGCAACACCCTCCACACGCACACGCGCTAGCACTCACGCGCGCGCGCACGCATGCACGCATGCACACACACGCACACACACACACATACCGTCCAAATGGTTCGATACCCGGAGTGAGAGAGTGAACGCGCTGGAGCAACGGGCTGTCGCCTCCCAGCTGCCCGCCGCTCGCCGAAGGGCTTGTGTTGCGAGGTATTGTCCTCGTCGGGCCATGTTTATCGAGCGGGAGTGGTTTTACGCTCTGCGCAGATAACTCTGCGGGAGTGCTATGCATTCCTTTGCTAGAGGGAACTAGAAAGCATTTTTATCGTGTTTACACAGAGCATTATATTTCAAGTGTGTTGAACAAATATAAACACACTGCACAGTGTTTGTATCTACATAGCGGAAAGAGGAAGGGTTCTACCTTATTTAATTTCCTTTTACCAATGTCAAAAAATGAAATCTGAGACAATTTAATGGTGTAATGTCTCAATGCATTTTCAGAATGTAGTGATAAAGTGTACCAAAAATTAAACTTACACTACATTTGATACAACTAGCTATGTCTATAAAATTGTTTTGAAAAACCTATCTCAAGCATTTATGTTCAAAGAACCAAAAAAATGAATAGCTAAACTAGTAGGTCAACAACATGGCACAGACTTTCTTGTACAGTATGTAACGGTTATCAGAAAAAAAATAATACTGAATAAATGGCAAATTATTTCCCTCTAATATTTCACCCTATCGTATCCATCTTTACTACACTGTTCGAAACACAAAACACCAGTTCTTCTGAAAACAATGAACAGTAAAATTAAACTTTTTGTTCCGTACATAGTCAATAATGAGCTTTGAAACACTGAATATATTTCTTTCAATAAAATTCAATAGTAATTGTTGCCTGAACATCGATTTTTGAAAGTTTCTTTATCTTAATTAAATATAATTCTCTCTCTCCCTTTAATGAATACATTTCTCAAATTTCACCAACTTCACATGAAATTATGTAGAATATATTTGCCGATAATATTAATTACCACGACAGTTTCTTCCTTTCCCGCAAAATATTTTTGAAAAATATTGTGTTAAACCAAAAAAAATGCTTTTTAAAAATGTCCCATTTCTTGAGCTCTCTAACAGTATAAT